GGGGCAGTAACACTTATTCAGTGACCCTGAACTTACAAACACTTAGTCACATACTTAACTTTACATACTAACTACATAAGCAAACCATAGCAGGATTAGGCCTTAAATAATATGGGGTAGATCCTTGGCTGGGATAAATTGCTATGGTTCTGTGCAGTTATGGACATATATAGCAGCTGAGGATATAGATACTGAATAAAACCTAATCCCCCAGATAAACATAGGCAACAAAATTATCTTCATAATTGTCCAGGAAGATAATCTGAGAATACAGTATCTAAACACAGAGCTAGAACCAGTATAGAATATAATATTCAAGAACGGTATCAGAGTAACAAAATCGACATGTGGTAAATTATTGTAACATTTTATCAGTGAAGGAAAACAAGTCTGTTGAACATTATAATTCTCTTAAAATTAATCTTATATTGTGTGGTTAAAGAAACCCTCTGCCAATAAATAGCATGATACCTTTCAGAGAGTATTAATAGCAATTAATCTTTGTATGTTTCATCATTCTTTCAGTACAAGAAAGTTTCCTAACAACTACTATTGTTCAAGGGTTATTGTTCTTTCATCTTCTGAATTATGATTGTCTTTGATTTAATATCTACATCAAACATAAAGTTTGGAGAAACTCATCTCCTTTATCTTCCTTACTCCCAGAGTTGTTCCCCCTTCCCCTCCAAACAGAGGATTTCTGTTTTTCCTGTATTTTATAATAGGGAGTGTCCTGTTAAACTTTGGTTCATTTATCAGTATAATATATATGATCCTTGTCAGATGTTGCAAGATCAGAGGAAGTAGCTCTACCAATCAAAAGAGTCTCAGAGCTCTGCTTTGACTGCATTTTTTCACTTGATGTTTGCCAACTTAAAAGCACTGTATCAGCTTCATTCTGCATTTGAAAAATTATCTGTGACTTCTTCAAAGCAGATATAATTCCAGGAATTTTTGAAGATTACTGCAAATCCCAATTTCCTTTTGAATTAGCATCTCACTTCATAATTCTGTCTTTGGTTCTTAGCCTCCAAAATTGTATTTATTTATTTATCTGACAAAATGGAATGGACTTCTGCATCCATGATGCCTGTATAGAGTATTTGACTGTCCTTTGTGCTTGCAACAATTTCTTTCTTTTTTTCCCCCAAATCTCTTCTTTCTTCCCCTCTCCCCCAAAACATTTGTGTGATGGTTCCTCAGATTATTTAATATTATTGAGACATATTGTTCAGCCTTTATAGGAGTGCCACTTTTTTTCCCCTGTCAGGGTACATCTACACAGCAGCGTTTTTTCAGAATAATTGACATTATTCCAAAATAACAAAGAGTGTGTCTATCACTACAAGCCTCTATTTCAACGTAACATGGAACTGGAGGACTTCTTACACTTCTTACTCATGATAACCCCCATTTTACGAGGAGTAAGGGAAGAGCGTTCTTCCTTTGACTTCCTGCTATGTAGACAGCGCCAAAAGCTGAAATAAGCTATTTCAGCTTCAGCTATGTAATTGCTGTAGCTGACATTGTGTAGCTTATTCTGACTTTAGCCCTGCTGTGTAGATGTACCCTCAGTGTCCTAGTATATCTGCTGTGTACAGAACATGCTAGGACTAAAAACAGACCTTATGAGCACTTTGGGTGGGCTTTCAAAAGGCAGTGGAAGTTTTACCATGGCTCTAATGGCAGCAAATTTAGGTTGATGTCAACTTTAGATGTAGGTGTGGACTTTGAAATCCACACTCTGAAAAGCATAACCTCAACCATATCAGAGAGCCTTTTAATAACAGTGGGATCTTTACAATGTTTACAATAAAGAACCATTAAAAGCTTTACCTATACTTGAAATTTGTTTGCAATCATAATGGTATCTTTTGCTTTTGTGAAAACTATAAGCCTTTCTTGAAACACCTGTGGTGGAATCATGGTTTTACGGAAATCAATGGGCCAGGATTTCACCTTTATCTCTATTTTCCATTCAGTAGAATCCTAAGTTCTCCAGCCAAGGAGGACTGGCCAGAGGCTATGTTCTGGGAAACCAGAGCTGGAATTGAATCTGGGGCTGTATGATGTCAGTGAACAGCTCTACTATGTGACCATTCCTAGTTAGAAACTCAGTGCTTGTAGTCAGAATTAACAACAGGATATTCAAACTCTATCCTAAGCAGCAAGGAGTTAATGAGGGCTATAGAATAAAGGCTCCCCTTACTCTTGCCAAACTCTGCTCTTCTTCCCTTAGTGAGAAGTGCCTCAGGCAAAGTGTCCCCTTATCTGTCATACAGGGGCAGTCAGACTTCCTCTCAAAAGTGGATTAGCCTGGTAGTCTGCCCCAGAGGTGAGGGGAGGGAACACAGCCTCTCCTCCTGGAGCTCCTTGCACCTTTCTCCCTTCTTGTCTCTTGGAAAGTATGAATGTGTCTTGCTACACACTACATGCTTCACACTCACACCTCTACTTACCAGGGAAAGCTTTTAAAAGGTTCCCAGCAGGCCAAAAGTTGAGTCAGATGGCCTAATTGGTTCAAGGTAGCCTGATCTCAGCTGATCCCTGATCTGGCTGAGACAACTCCTTGTCAGCGGCTCCTAATTGGCCCACTCCTTGTTAACAAGGGCTGCATCACAAGATGTCTGGAAGATTAGTGGCAGAGGGGCATGCCTGCTGTACCACAACCTGAAATAAGGGGAAACTCCAGCCAGTGAGTCCCTTTATCACAGCAACACTTTCTGAGACCATTTTATGGATTCAAGAAGAACCATAGCACTATTTATACATTCCAGTCTACAGCCATATACGGCCTATCTTCTGTAACCATTACACAAATGGTTTAAACAAATAGCAAGTTCCTGTTATGGGTCACTGTGTCTTATGCTTTAAAACAAATGTTGATTTCAATCAGATATAATGGAAATTTTGGAAGCTTAACTAGGAGAAAAGAAAGGAAGCTTATGTTTAATGTTTTAGCTAAAGTGCATTTTTTTGTTAGTAAAGCCAGGCTAATGTTGATTGTAAAGCTAATGGGTAAATCAGTCATTAATTATTAGTAATGACCAATTCCCATTAGGAATAATGCTTCCAGCAGCACAAGTTGCACTTAAAATACTCATTCATCCTGATCACCCCATGCATTTCCCCTTTCCAAAGCTGAAATATGGAAGCTGGGCAGACAACTCATTCTGAATCATTTCTGTGTTAGATTGCCTGTCCCTAACATTAACTTGGGCATGAGAGGTAGAAGTCCCCCTCATCCATAATATGGCTGCATGAGAGCCTCTTGAATTGTGGTGCCCAGAGGAGTACCAGAGGCTGTGCTAGCAGTATTTCCTCTAGGAGCAAGTGGGAGGGGAGTGAATGGGTGTTAGGAGTTGTCATGAATCCATCCCAAGCCTCATTCAGACGCTAGTGGAACTGGTTGGACTTATGATGCGTGACATACTGCACTCCTTAAAGAGGAATAGAAACACCACCCCATCCCCCAGTACAAGTGGGAACCCAAGGATGCATTATGCCTTAAAAGGAATGTGGCTCCAAGACACAACATAACCCTTTGGCATTATAGATAAAAATATTAAAATTCTGAAATTTAGGAACTAAGGGTCGAGGGAACCCTAGGAGCCTTGAGTCAGAAAGGGCTTGAAGAACAACCAGAAAATTTTGGAAAAGTTTGGGAAATTAAAACTACTGTCTCATGTCAGGAGCAAGATATTTCAACGTCTCATACTTTATTAGGTAAGGAGAGAAAGACTTAACAAGATGCCTCCAAAACCTTAAAGTCCAGAAAACAATGAAGTTACATCTATTTAAATCAGCATAGAATCTGGATCTCTATTATACATACACATGTCCATCATTTGGGTGAGATCCTGGTTCCATTGAAATCAATGGCAAAACTCACATTAACTTCAACGGAGCTAGGATTTTTCTCTCTACATATGTACGTGTATATGTATTTAGGCCTAAACTGAAAGGAACCTTTTATGGGACACTTCCAATATCTACAAATTCTCAGCCATTGCCTGTTTAATTGTTATAGAAACACTTTAAAGATGTAGACTTCTAAAAATATTTCAGTGGAGTTTTTGGCCCTTAATTATTATAGGAATTTTGTTGCTTTTTCAAATATCACCCCTGATGCTGTTGCATTGTCTGACTGCAATTTGTTCCTCATTCATTCATGTGGCCAATTTGTGCAAAAGAAGATTCATCACTGCAGTTTCAGAACAAAGGTTTTGAGAAATGCCTACAATGAGTGAAGTAATAAATAGCATTTTGTGTCATGTTTAAAAATCATGCTTTCTGCAGCTCATTGCATAGGGACTTGTCAATGTAACCCCTATTTCCTACAAGCCTTATGTTTTCAAATTCAAGTGAACACTGTGACCTGATGTTGTTTTGTCAGTGATTGCTCTATCCCTAAAAGCTTGTTTATGTATACTGTAAAGTACTAAGCAGGGGGGTGGAACAAAACAGGGACTAGACTTTCAGAACAGCTCAGAACCCTGTAGGATATTAAAGAATTCCTATGCTAGGCACCTAAACTAGTTTCAGATTCTCAAGAGAGCCCAATTCTCATTTAATGGTCAGAATTTCAAACATGGTCAGCACCCTGCAGCTCCTATAGAGAAAAATGAGTTTTGCAGAGTGGTTAGCTTTTAGAAAATCTGACCTTTTTTTTTTTTCCTTTTTGGGGGTACATAAATGGAAACAGTGTTCTATTGAAAATTTGTCCTTAAATCATACAAGAGAAGATAGGAATAGCTCTGCTTAAAGTTAAGTCTGCTTATTCAATAATATTTAGTTAATTTTAATAAGCTGATAGTGATTAAACTATCCACTGTTTTTGAATATCAAACTAAATAGAAAAGCCTTGATCCAAAAAGGGATTTAGACATTGCAATGCAGAGTTACTGGCACAAAGAGAACTGGGCCATGAGTCTCCCAGCTTGATCTCCTAATCACTAGGCTACAGTGTCATTTTCAGTCAGGCTTTGTGTATGGTCCAGTTACTCTTTCATTATTTTGTCACAGTGGAACAGTTTCAACCTAAGAAATGGCAGGAGACCCCACCTCTGAATACCACATAGTTCAGTGGTTAGAGCACTCCTCTCAGACATGCAAGACCCCTCTTCAAATCCTTTCTTCTGCCCCAGCGGAAACCTGGGTAAGTGTTTTATCCAGTGGGCTAAAAGTTATAAGGTGGGCACAACCTTAGTTGCCTAGGAAACTTACAGCAAAAGCTCAGGTACCGAGTGTAAGGAGGAGTTATGTGGAGCCTAAAACTGGGAGTTAGGCATCTAAATCTGTGGGTACCTTTGTAAATTTGAGACAAAGCTCTCAATTTTTTTATATATATATATTTTTACTGTAAAATGTCTTTGTTGTTTTGAAACTAATTTAAAAAAATCGTTAGCAACTATCAAGGACAATATTACAGGGGGGGAAACAATTAGCAGAAATACTCATCCTAAAAACTCATCCTCATCTAACCACTTAAGCTTTTTGTTCAAACGTAGTACTAGAAAATATTGCAATGGTAGGATCTAGTTACAGAGATTCTCTCTGTGGAAAAAAATAAAACAAAAACAAACCACTACTAAGTCACACATCTTGAAAGTATATGTATTTTGTATCTACTGAAAAAACAGTGTGAAAATGAAATGACACATATCATGACATAAAATGGTTTAGATAGCAGCATGAATAATTATGCTGTAAATTAAAATGTACATGCAATGTACTAGATCATTTAAAATGTACTAGGTATAAAATGTACACGCGATGTACCAGATCATTTGGAATTTGGTATGGCAAGTGAAAAGTACCCTAGATAAAAATATAGTCTATCAGGAGACTTTCAAAATAGAAATCCCAGCTTAATCTTGAGATATGGGCTTTGAAAATGAGTCTATTAGCAGTCAGACACAGAAGATTTGGGATGTGGGAAATCCCTAACTTGGGGATTAGAGAAACTCATGGAAAAACTGAAGCTGCAGATGACAACTTTTGGCAATTACAGAGTTTTCCTTTATGTTAAGATGTGTGTGAGGACAGGAGAAAAGCTGATTGTCCTGTTGATTTACTTTTTCCCCTTTGTAATGTTAATCCAGCTTCCTCAAGAATAAATAACATTTATAAGGAACAAATGATTAACAAAATCTGGATTTACTCATAGGGAGTTAGACTCGATGACCTCCTCCTGAGGTCTCTTCCAACCCTATGATTCTATGATGCAGTTTAAAAAAAACACACACCAAAAACCCAAAACTTCAACCTGCTGCACTGAAATAAAATACTGCATTTTTCATTTGTGTAAGCGTGTTGACCAGATGTCCTTGAATTTAATTTATTGAAGCTCACACTCTTGAGATTGTTCAATAATGTATATAGCCTTCAGTGTAGAATTTTGTATTTGGTGATTTATTGAACCATTATTTAATACAGAACTTATAATTAAATATTAAAATCTTTGCTATAGTATACAACTGCCTTATGTAAGAATATAATATAATCAATAAGTTGGATACATATAATGAATAACTATGACACAGAATGCAACTAATGAATGTAATATTTGCTGTGGTTCCTGACATATTTCAATTAAATTGACCTCGTTTATAGAGGCTATTAAAAACAGAATATATACAAAGCAGACAACATTGGTTTCCAAATCTCTAATATACGACAATTGGAAAGAAGACACCAGAGACTTATAATACTATTGTAACAGTCTTTTTATGGGGAAAGAAAGTGCAATATCTAAAAATGTCTACTGGTATTTACCAGTTTAGAAATTCTTTTAGTAGTAACCTGGAATGCAATGTTAAATTAAATATATAAACACAAAGTTGTAGTACACAGAAAAGGCAGAATAGCCAAAAGTAAACATCAGTTTCATATATGCACTCTTGTTCTATGTAAAACTGCCCCCATTTTAGACTAATTTGTACAGACACCTGAAATCTTTGTCAGAAAGAATCTGAAACTCCAAACCTGATATCTTTGGATTTAAGGTTTTGGTTCAGGCCCATGTTTCCTACTTGCAAAACTGATATAAAAATTACTCACTTTTTCCCCAATCCCTATCATCCCAAATGACCTCTTTCTTTTTTCCAGTTACTTTGGTAGATTTCCAACATATATCATCTATATAGAATTAAATTCTTCCCTCAAATACATGTAATACAAGGATATTGTTGTTGACATGGTTACACAACATAAATCAGGGCTTGTCTAGATATTGGTTTAGTATGTGGTACTGTTTTAAATGGGAATACATTAGTTCTCACTGGGGAACCTTCTGTGTGCTTCAGCAGGGTAAACATGGCCCTGTTAAAACATGACACATGAGTGCAGACTAAAATTTACAGCCCTCTGGTGAGGACTAATGCAACATGTAGACAAGCTTTAGAGTGAATTTGGCACATTATACAAAAGACAGAATAGAAGCTTGTAATGAAGCAGTTTTCAATTAAAGACATCTGATGGCTCAATGTTTAGGCTGCAAAAATGCCTACATTCTATTTTTTAAAGTATGCTGCAAGTAACTTTGTAGGTTTCATATTATAGACTATTCAACCACAAAGTTGGGTAGCTTAGGGTGAATATTATAATGATAAAAGTGTGGTGATCTTTTTTTTTTTTTTTTTTTTAAAGATAGCAACGAGATAGTAATAACATCAGTGTGTCTTGTAGGAAGGTTTGCTTAAGAGAGTAGTTTCCATGGAAACTCTTGGAAATAGCAATTTGACTCCACCCTTGAAAAAACCTGATGAGCCTCTTTATTATAGATTATTTTGTGTTCATAATAAATGTCTAAAATCAGTATTTCTAAACAAATCTTAATTACATGCAAATTGACAATACCTTATTTAAAATAATCTATTTAGTTTTAGACTGAAGTGGAAAATAGTTCTGCTACTGGCCCTCTGCTGCCAAGGAATATGTAGCAGCACAAAAGGTCATTGAAAGGAATATTGTTTAAATTAACTGTCACTATAAACAGCTTTGACTGAAAACGTTTTGTGCTGCTTTTTATTTGATAGGATATGAGTCACAGGATGAAAATTATATACCTAGCTTTTAGATCTTGTTAAAATAGCTGCAGCTGGGAGGTGTAACTCTCTCATGAATGGATAAGATAGTAAAAAAAAATCCTCTATAGAGAAGCTTCTCAATGAAAAAGCTGGTAAACAAGCCTGAGAAAAAAGGAAACAGATGCAGAGTGATAAGAATGTGCCTGTTCTGACAGGGAACACCAGTTTGTGCATGTAGTAGATTGAAAGAGGGTTGGGAGTGGGGGCAGCTTATTCAGCTGTTTCCTTAGTACACTCAGTGAATTAGTAAAACAAGATTCTGCGCCCAAACAAGGAAATGACATTTTGTCTCTGTGTTATAAAGGAAGTGTTCCTTTGTTCTCTTGCGTAGAAGCCACTTCAGGAATTCAAGATGGCTGGGGTACAGCCAGAATTTAGAGAAAATATTTAGAAGGCACAAAATGTGCACGCTGTTACAAAAATAACCAAGAGGCCAAAAGCAATGGAAAGGGTTGAGACCTGGTAACAGGCCTCCCATGGAACCTCCGCCAGCAGCAGTGAACACCTATGAGGTCCTAGTTACTTAGTCCACTCCCACAGGGAACCTCTGACAAACAAAATTCATACTTGGGAAACATAATACCATTTTCTTATGTCTGAGTGTTGGTTGTAAAGCTAAATATAAATGTCATTGAAATCCTCCAATGGAAAATGCTATATAAATGTGGAATATCACAAGTACTTTTTTCAAACAGTACTTTTACTCCATTCATTTTTTGTTTCACTAAGCCATCCTTAATCCATCATGCATTGGGTTCTTTAGGAGTTAAGACTTGAATGAGTCTGGTATTTTGTGAGCTGAAATTATTGTGTCAGTCTTGCTCACTGGGAACTTCAATCCACAAAGAGTACCAAGGAGAAAGTGCTCCAGCCATAGTCCTGTTGGCCGTAGGCTACTGGCTGCTTAATGTGTTTAAACATTACATAATACAATGATGGGTGTGTGGAAAAGTTTTCATTGACATATGAGCAGTGAACTCCTGATCAGTAGAACCATTCTGTATGCTAGGCAGCCTCATGAATTCAGATTGTCTTCACTCACATATTTTCTAGAGAAAGTTTTTGATCTGTTTTATAGCTACGTATGCTTGGACTCATGCCAAATGGATAGCATTTTTGGTGGAGCTCAATGTCAGAAGGGAAATTGTATAAAGTCTTTTCTTGCATAACCCACATACTTTTACCGTGAAAGCTAGCTAACATCGTATTTGAATTTTATCCATTGATCTTCCTGGTAGTAAAACATAGAAGAAAGACATTGGGTGGTTCTTTTTTAGTTGGAGACTGTAAACACCTGCATTCCATAGGGCCGTGTTTACATTTCTTATACAAACTGTTGCTAAAAATAAAGTATAGAAACTGTCTTGCCCACAAGCTAGGGTCTAATTACCATATTTGGGTCAGGAAGGAATTTTTCCCTGGGGTCAGGTTGGCCGAGAACCTGGAAAAGTTACACCCTCTTCTGCAGCATGGAGCATGGTTCAGTTGCAGGTTTAAACAGGTGTAAATGGTTGATTGTAACTTGAAGGCTTTAAACCATGACTTGAGGACTTCAGTAACTCAGCCAGCAGTTAAGGAAGGAGTCTGTTACAGGAGTGGGTGGCTGAGGTTCTGTAGCCCACAATATGCAGAATGTCAGATGAGATGATCATGATGGTCCCTGGTGACCTTAACGTCTATAAATAATCTCTTAAATCTGATAATTTAACCACTTATCATTGTGTCTTTGATTTTCCTCATATAATGAATATAACTGATGAGGTTGTGTTGAAGATGAAACTCTGGCAGTCTTTGGAGTTCTTTGAGCCCTTCAGTCTAGGTGTAGGCCCTCAAATCATAAAGAGAATGCATTGGTCAATGTTCTGCTCCTGGCACTGGACAAAGTTCAAGAGCTGCTGGGTTATAAAGGGCAGGAGACAAATTTTAGAATAAGACTCATCTTCATAGTTTAGATATATACACACAGAGGATATTATTATAAAGTTAGTGTTTGGCAACCTTTACCACATGGTGCTATTGGTGATTAGCATAGTTTTCCTATGTGGATAATAAGATACTTCTTGGTATT